AGAACGCCGATGTAAACGAGAGATTCGACTGGAGTCATCTGAATATTCCTTTAAAATCCACTTGATGTGCTACGGAAAGTACTTGATGAAGTCGATTTGTAATGCAAGCTGTCTGACTGACTGAACTTGCCGTGAGCACCGAGGCGCATACGAATGGCAATGAAATTAAGGAATGCTAAGACAAACAGGTTTATCTATATATCTATTTGGCTTTCACGAGGGACTCAAATGAAGCTATCGTTTATGATATTCGTCAACTGAATGTGCTGCAGAAAGGCTGCTTCATGTTTTAGTGGATACGATATTCGAGATATGGCGGTATATTTTCATACAGAAAACTACTCAGTACATTCAGGCAGAGAATATCCTAAAAAAGAAATTCAGTTGAGTCTTTCGCGAAAACCAGATTGATTTGCGAATGAGTGCATTTGCCGTAATCAGTTCAATTTGGATTCTAGCAGAACATAAGGTTGACGGGAACCAGGGAGCCTGAGCCTATCTGATGAGCTCCAAAAAGGGCGAGACCGGTCGGGGACTACCGAAGAGTTCCCAGTAACCCTGTAAGTTTTATACATGAAGGTAAGATAGGGATCGTCCATTGAGCGTCTATATGAGAGTAGAATGTCTCCAATGACGAATTCGTAAGCTCACTTTCCTGTGACAACGGATTTCACTTCGAATGGCCAGGTATTTTTTTAGAGGGAAGCCCACTTCTAAAAATTACTATGGATGTGTAACCTCGTTTCTGTTGTAGTTGCCTGACAAATGGCATTTATCCAGGCTGTTATTTAGGAAGGAGATATCTTATTTTTTGACACAGCCCAATAACATGTCCTTCATTTAACAAAAGCTCATTGATACCATAGTAACTTTTTGTATGTAAGATTCGGCACCTATCACTTTGTCGTTTACTGCGTCATTCTTCCTCTGGCTGGGTGCCTGATCTACAACATTCTCTCAGCGCGTGGAGCTCACAGTCAACTGATTGGATTTCTTGAAATAACAGAGCTGGTGTGTTGTTTGGTTATCATTCGACAACAAGAGGAATTGAATCGAGGCACTCTGCTGTGCATACCGAACGGCTACACGTGAGCCGAGGCCCACACGAGGTATCCACTCAGTTTTACTTTTCCAATGTTCCGCTTACCTGGAGCACCGTTTCAGAAAGGCATACCCGTGACAAATTGGCATTCCTTACGAAGGAATCAGTTTGTACACAGGTCACTGAAAACGTACATGATAGCACGTGCCGCAGAGCTTTTGAGCAGGATTTGCACGCGACGAACTGTTGCACAAGTTTTATTAATGGGGAACGTAATAAATGTTTTTACCCTTTTTACGGCAAGTTAGTTACCGCTAAAACAGTCGTTTTCCCCAATGGCACTGGGACAGTTCTGTGAAACAGCAAGGCTGTACGTCAATTTGATGTCTAGTCAAGCCACTTGTTTGTCGTTCGCCGTGTACAACAGGACCACGATCTCCGTTTAATATCCGCTATTCCATGTTTAATAGACGGTTTCATTGTAGTGTTGTCCATAGAAATGTTTTTGTAGAAGATCACCACGATCCAAACTCGTCTCAACAGATTCAACCCACCGCTACGCACAACTTAGTTCCCCAATAACGCAATGATGACGTTACCTCGATTGGTGATGGGATGTTTGCAATCAAATTGCTCAGCCCAGTGAACAAGCCAACGACCAGATTCAACTGTACCTGCTTCGCCACGTAGAACAAGCGAGGCTACTTTTATCCTTCCCACGTCGGGAAAGCATAAGCTGTTATGCACCTAACGCGCGGATATTATCTTGAAATGTCAATCCTTCATGTCTATCAGTCGCATGTACGTAAAATAACCATGGAGCATACTTTATTGCCTAATTTGAACTGAAGTAGACTCCTGTTCATTATTTTCCAGAGACACTACAACTGCATTTCTTTCATGGTATCGTTCCCTGAAGTTTTGATTATCCATGCCTTACTCATTTTTATCGGTTACACCATCTCCCATGAAGTTATTCCACTGAACCTGAACTTAATGCTTCCTTGTCCACGATCTCGCTTGTGCAGCTGTGCAGACAGTTGAACCTACCCAGGTGGGTTCAATCTCATTGTTAGCTCGGACGTGTTAAAAAGCAGCCAGGTACACACTTGATGGCACTCACAGCACAAACAAAGTACAAGATCTATAAACAATACTGTGGTAGTACGTCTCCTTGAATCAAACCATTCGATCACACGTTCCACTGACCTATTCACCGGATGCGTGGAAGAGACTCCGGGGCGGTGTAGTGTCAAATTTTTGTCGCAGATGAGGCGGTTGCTATTAGATTACCCACCTCACCTCTGTCTGTTCAGAAGCGCCACGTCCAGTTGCTGCGATTATCATGGCGTCTCTCCCACCATGTGATGGATCCTCATCCCCCGTCCTATCCACACATAAATGTTTCTCATTGCCGCTGGCTAATAAACCTCAGTTGCCTGGTTTTGAAGGGAGACTCACCTAGAACGCAACTGAATCTCTCGCTTGTGATGTTTTTAAGGAAGTGAATGTGCTGGACCAGGCCGACTCAGATTACGTTTGGTACGACATTTGATATGTGTATGTATATATGTGTACACATGTGTGCACATAGTTATGTGAGTTTTTGTTTTCCCTGCTTTATTTTTCTCACCGTGACAGTTAACGTAATAGGAAAGCGATCCTATTTAGCTTTATGAGTATTGGGAAGTCAGGCTTGTTTCCTACTTATTGTTTTTCCTACAGACGTGTCTGCAGTTATTAGTGTGTTTGCATGATCAAACGGGAATTCTCACCTGAAATAGAGCCAATAAATGAGTCCTTCAGGTGATCGAGATGCAAAGACATGCCCGGGTCCTGCATAAATACGTTCACACCCATGTCGTCTCTCCTCAGGTGTGAGACATGTCATCCGGGTGTAAGCACGTGGTCGGATGGACTGGATTTGGTGATTGTCAACATGTGGAGTGGCTACGAGAGATCACCGAGTGAACCGGTCAATTTGATCTCTTGAATCGGATAGCATACCTGGATAAGCCTGCGAAAGTGATCGGTAAGGCATGTACTCTGATTCACTTCCAAGAGTTTGGCTTGGACCATTTCACTGAGCTACTGGGCACTACTCGGGCCTTGTTACGCTCTGTGGTATTTGGGGGACAAATCGTAGGGGGGAAAATCCAGTGGTTTCACTGTGTGAAGGATCTTGTTTGTGACAGATTGGCACGTACAGATATTAACGGATAAATAACAGGGAATCGGAAAAGTACGTGGTCTTCACCAATGGGTGAAGACTTTGATGCCAATAGTAATACCAATACTCTAATACCAAAGTAGGACAAAGAAATCCGTTTCAAACAAGTGGGGTGTTCAACGGCCAAGTATGCTGTCAAGTCACAGTAGAATCGTTTATAATATGGTCGTCCAACTGCGTTTCAATGTGACGTTTTCCATCCCAGTGTGCTTTATTCATCGTAATAATATGGATGTAAGCGAGCCAGTTGGACTTACTGGGTAAATCACCCAGTTGTCTTTTCGCTATATACATGCACACACATACATACGTGCACTATTGGAACTAACTTGACCTCCTGATATTCAATTTTTGATTTGCTTACTCGGCCAATGTACATTTGATCTCCACTTGCTTTGCTCATCTGCACCCGCCACTCACCTTTCCTTAAGGGCTTTCCCGTTCGGCAGTGGTATTCCTGCATGTGTGTGTGAGCATCTGACTTACTCATCCATGCGTGTTCGTGTCCCATTTGTTGTTGTGCCTACCCTGGCTTGTCTATCATGATTTCCGTGTGATCGCACCGCCACTAGAATCACGAGGCCGGATTCGGAAACGATGACCGTTACGCACTCTAACGAGCCGACATTCCGCTCACCATTGTTTGGTGTGTGGACCTTGACAGTGCCCTGTGCCGGTCAGTGACAGGTTTGCGCACTTGGTTACGCCACGAACTTGGACAATTAAGGTTTATTCTATAATTCTGCGCACCCTTGTATATATAGACCTTTGAACCTACTTGCTCTTTTTGCTATTCAGGATCGTCGAACTTACGCGTGACTCAAAGTTCCGTACCGGGAAACCCAACACACAAACGCACACGCACGTTCATTCAGTCATTCATTTATCCATACATGCATACATACATACATACATACATCATACATACATACATACATACATACATACATACATACATACATACATACATACATACATACATACATACATACATACATAACATACAACATACAAACATACATACATACATACATACATACAAACATACATACATACATACATACATACAAACATACATACATACATACATACATACAAACATACATACATACATACATACATACAAACATACATACATACATACATACATACAAACATACATACATACATACATACATACAAACATACATACATACATACATACATACAAACATACATACATACATACATACATACAAACATACATACATACATACATACATACAAACATACATACATACATACATACATACAAACATACATACATACATACATACATATCAAAAGGCGAGTGCTCGAGTGGCCGTTTAACTCTCTCGACTAGAAAGCCCATTGTGTTTGGGTGATTAGTTTACCGTGTTGAGAGGACGCTGAGATTTTGAGGAGAAATGATTGTTTTTAGCAGTTCGTTGAACACAGCACATACATACACCAAAACTCCAAGCAAACAATGACCTTCAGGAGAATAAGTGTTCTGTGCTTGGGTATATTGTTACGGTGGAAATAGCTCTAACAAGTATTGATCAAATGAAAAGCACCTTCTGTTCCATTTACATCTATGGAATCGTTATTTTTTAAGCCGATGGATTTTTGTTGTTATTCTTTTGTTGCGATTCTTGGCTCTTTATGCGTAACTGCATCTATACACAGATTCATACGGCTATACCGTTTAACACAACGTTCTGGAACCTAGTCCTCTTGTTCTGTGGAATACTCTGAAAAGAATTTAATCAAATGAGCGCTTATTACACCTCTAGTTACACTCAGTTTTACTTCCCCTGTTTCAGGGACCAATGAGAAACAAAGACATCCAAATTAAGGAACTATATCCCTTGAGTGAATATCAGCATCAGCGGCGCTGTGTCGACAGTGCAAATCACAAGCTCTTCTGAGTTGATCTCGGCTGACTAGTATTCATTTCGTAAACGAGTCCTTCTAAGAATGAGATAAAAAATTGCTTTGAAATTTCCAATTTGCACAAACCACGACTGACTATCGAACTTTAACTGAGGTAGGACGGAAAATACTCGATGATAGCTGGTAAATTTGAGCTTCAGAAATCACCGAGAAACATTGTCCTTCCCAAGGACATTGTTTCTTTTTCTTGTTATGCTGAAATAAAGTTGCTGCCTCGTAGCTGAAATTGAACATGGGCAATGAGTGCAGTGCAAATAATAAGTACTTGAAAAAATCATGTTTAAGCAGTTTACGGTTCATGATTGAATAAATTGGCATCTGTGGAGAGAACTCAATATCAGGATTATGTGCCGTCCCACATGTTGCGATATGGCAGTACCATTATACATTTGCTTTCCTCATTAGATTTAAATTGTTACGAGCTACCTGGTTTTACGTGAATTTTTCAGACAAGCAACGTCTCCAAGATAGATACAGTTGTGTGACACCCCTGCGTACGTCTTTTAAGGTAGTGACATTTTACTGGGTTCAACTATAGCAACAACTTGTTCCAGTCTGTGCGTAGCTTATTGATTTTTTCGGTATTGACTCTTAAAACAAATAGTTATGGGTTCCAGCTGATGATTGTCATCCTCGTAAAAAGTAAACACAACGATAACTGTTTGTTGAAATTTGCCAATTTTGAAGCCCTCTTACTGTGTAACATGAAATAATCACAACTAATTAGACTAGAATGTGATTGTGGTTTGAGTTGTTGCTTAGTTTGCAAACACCTCAATATAAGGTAAGGACCAGAGAGTTGGGAATAAAAATGACCCAGTTCCCTCTTGGCCAGGCAATTCTATTTAGTCTTGAAGAAGCCTTGACCCAAGATCGTGAGTCTATATCACATCCACCAGACCGATGCTTGTTTTCGGATCGTCCGATAGTGTAAGGATACACAGGCACTCAGCCTAGGGGAGCATAATCCTTTCATAATTGTGGTGAGTGATAAATTCAAGAACAGAGTCCAAAACCTGGATAACTGACAAAGGCGAATAACAAGCCGTAATTCTTTTATCAATTCCGGACACCAAACAAGACAATATAATTAAACTTGAAATCATTTACTCTTGAATTCACCGGTCTTGCGCATTCGTGGCTTGGCAGTCACCTTATCTGTCTTCATTAAGATCGTACCTATTAATTGTTCATACATCTGAGTTCCCTAGTAATTTTCATCGAGAAGTGTGGAGACAAAGACCTCGGACTGCAAGCTATCTATTTGGGTGTGCCGTATTTTGCTTCTGTAACTATGTTAATGACAACATCCGGGACTGCACAAACGTCTGTATCTGTGGGGTTTTTGAGTCCTAGCTTCCAGTTAGAAGACATCCGTTGTATTGGGGTCACCGTGATTCACATCCTATATCATAGTGGGGTAGTCATCATAATACTCTCTGAATAGTGGAGTTTCACTGTCACCACGGAGTAGTATTTCCTCAAACCATCCGGGTCAGAATTACTTGCGGCCCAACATAGTGCTGACATTGAATGTAGTTGAACACTCTCGGCACGAAATTGCGCACAAAGCGTAATTTACAACCCAGTGCATTTGCTGACAAATAATCAGTTTCACACTACTCTGTTCATCGTTGCTCCGTGGCCAGCTCTGAAGAACGCGACGAACTCGGGTTTCATCAAAATTCGCTGCAGCGGACGGGTCTTTGACACCTGAAGAAGTTTCTCCCCCCGATTTATAGAGGCCTTGGCCAACAGAAAATATCTCCCAGTTACCAGGCACACTTTAATTTGCCTTGCAAAACATGGCCTTTTACCTATTTGACTAAATGATTTTTCTGTTGCGAACGAATGTGAAACTTTAAACGGGCTGTTGGTACCAACTCAGACTTAGAAAGTGTTTGGTGATTACAACATTTTGTTAAATTTTACCCCGTTCAAAATGACTAATTGCTCGAATGGAGGAATGAACACCCGTACCTTTTCATACAAAAATTGATCTCACTACTGTGAACCAGAAAAAACTGCAGTCCACTGTGGGCATTGATGTGATGCGAACAGAAATTTCTACTGTAAGATGACCCCTGTCTTTATATCATTCATTAGACCATTAAAAATCTGGCTGTTATCCATCACTGTATAATTTACGTAAGTGACATGTATTCATAAACTTTCAGACCACAGTTCATTTGAACTGCAGGACACAATCGATGTTAAGCCGTGCTTTCGAAGTCTGATGAGAATTACCGAGGAAATATTTATTTTGTTTTTTTCCAGAAGTAGGCTACCGAGAGAATAATGTGTCGGTGTGGCAATGATTGTTTTATTATCTGTGTTGTATTATTGATTCATGGCGGGCCCAACTCATTGCAGTCTGTGTGCTGACTATCGTTACAACACTTTTCGATGAGGTACATCCCGCTTCACTTGACTAGATATAAGTCAAGATAGAAAGTGAACTTTTTCACGTTTCACTAGGCAAGGTTGGATAATCGTTCGTCAACGGTGCTCCGTGACCACCATCTACATCTAAACTGAATAATTACTAGTTACTGGTATGATAAATGAGTAGTTAAAATGCGTGTCGTTAACGAAGGGCACTCCGCTCGCGCACTGACCGCAGGCTTGATGCCACATGTGGTAGTGGTGACAAACGTTCGAGTAAGCCATCCTATTTCACTGCGGAATTTCTCGTAAAACCTGGGTTTCACAGTATAAATAGATGGTGGTCGCCAGTTCACTTAGAGGAACCTTTCCAGATGACACTAAGCGCATTTGATAAAATCATAATCAACGGTGTTGTGATACCCTGGCTTGCTGAGCCGAAGGATGATTCTTTCATGAGTGTATAGAACAAAAACCACGAATGGGAATCCAAACCCCCATTTCTCCACAACTTATGTCACAATAGAGTTTGCATCCTTTAAACATACGTTTCCTCGAGAACCCCGCTGTGATTTTACAGAAAGATGCCATTTTTCTTTTGTGCATCAGCAAGATGGAAGTCATTGTCCCTTGTTAGAAGTGGCAGATATGCTGGCAGAAACCCGCTAGCCATCTATCGTCAGCAACCCACTCATGACTTCCAAAAGAAAGTTTACCCTCCAATCATGCTCTTCGTTTTAAAGAGGAATACTAGTGACTCTGGACGTCTTCGTTTCATTGAAAAGTCAATGCTTTGTACTTACTACTCTTGTCAAAAGAATCGCTTCTATTCTAACAAATCTTTGATTCATATTGACCCGAGTAGGAGATCGCGAAAATATAGTCAACTCGTTTTCGGAATTTCATACTCTCCTCGAAAGTCAACTGTCGCGCGACCATTACATTACTTTAACTCTCAGTACTTATAAGCAAACGATGGTGATGTTCAGGGAGTGATTGCGCCCAGGTCATAAAATTGTAAGCTATAGTATGGAACGAGTTGGTTGACGAAAAGTCAAAAGCCATGTCGCAGTATGCATCGTTGATACTTAATCAAAGTTTGACCAACGAATCAGAAACATTTTGCAGTCAAGTATTTTATTGATATCTCCGGATCGTTCGCCATTTTTCTTTAAGAATTTACTAAAATGAAACGGCAAAGACGAGCCCGGGGAATGTTGTCTTAGGCTTTTCTCGAAAAATGATACTCTGTCAGCAAACATTTCACCGTAAATCGATGCACATGATAGGTGAATCTTAGACATGAAAGGGACAGCTGCTACCAATGTTAGCCATAAGCTGTTGGCCGTTAGAAACCTAGCTCGGTTGAAGACCCAAGGGTGTGTGAGGTCAGTTTTTACTTTTTCAGGCTTTTAAAGTGTTGTTCAACAGAACACGTAAGCGAGAAATGTTTATGACCAACAACAGCTATTTAGGGTACAAAAATATTCATTATAAAAAGCAACCATGCTTGTTAGGTGTTTATTACACACACAACACAAAAATGAGGAGTGCTCTGGTTGGCAGTGCGGGCCTAATTCAGATGCACAGACTTCATTCTAATTTAGGACTACATGTATGTTTAATGGATCCATTTTTTTTTTAAAAAAAATCAGTCTGTCCAACGAAAAAAACCTTCGAGATTCGGCCGACACCAACAGAAGGACCGATTCTTATGGACATTAGGAAACAACATTAGTGGACCAACCGCTACCGAGCAAGTAGCGAGCGTTGTTGACGAAAAGATTCTACTGTCTTCATATCAGGAACAGCCGTTGATTAAACGGCGAATTTAGTAACCGGGGAATTTGGACTTTTCATGTGTAAGTCAATGATTTGTATTTTATCTGGCGTCATGAAGCATGCGGGAAGAGAATTTGATTTGCCATGCATGATGACCTTCCGCAACATGAAAAGTCACACTAAGGTAATTCGAAATGCGTCAAAGATTTAGGTTGTTCTATACTCTTCATGTCTTCTCGTTGACGAGAACCACTTAAAACACATTTCTCTAGCTGTAGCATTACAAATTTATTAAGTGGCAGTCGATTTGTATTTGCCTACTTGGTCTGCTGTATTCAAAAATTCCAATAACTGTAAATGCATCTCCGGACCTTTCCCCATCAAGTCTACTTTCTAGGCTTGAAAAAAAACCACACGTGAAAAATAAAAAAACGTATGCCTAAGCGTTGAAGCATTCTTAAGAGATGAGAATTTCCAGGAAGCGTAAAAGTCAAAGATATATTTGCACACAGTCACAGCGTTTTGGTAAATCCTACTAATAATGGAAACTGACTCGCCCACTCTCGAACACAAGCTTGATTGGCCACCGGCACATTCTGTCACGTTCGTTCCACGTCATAATGGTTCGAAC